GTGGAGGAAGTCACGCAGCAGTCACAACAGCGTGCGACGAAAGTAGCGGATGGCAATACTGCCAATGCACTCACAAAATTATTCTCAGCCGGGAAAAAGATCATTCAAGCAAGCAAGCATGTCGCGCGGCTAGTGCCAAGCAGCAGCCGGTTTCTTATCGTGGTCAGGTTCTTACACCAATTCAGGTTCGACGATCTGGCAACTGTCCACCGGCCCGGACGCGAGAGCCCCATCGTTCTCCGGGGGCTCGGGCCGGTCTTGCCAATCGAGAGGTGAGGGTAGACCTGTGACGTGCTTGTTTTACAGGAAACGCACTGGATGGAAACCGCAGAATTCGCGGTCTCGGGCTGGTACTGCGTTTCCTCGGCCTCGCCTGAGGCTAAACCTTCAGACGTCGATATACCAAAAGATTCTGGGGGCTCGGCCCAACCTTTGTCCGAAATGTCGGCAAAGGAAAAAGAAGACACCGGGGGCTCGGCCCAAAAAGTCTAAAGCTGGAAAACAGAAGCCTGCCTCCACACCAGGGCAGATGGTGTCATGGTCCTGCTCTCACCTGCCATCTCCTCACAGAGCATTCGCTGGCAGGAACACGCTAAGGGGAGAGTCCTTGAGGTTAGGTTTGACTAGTTTGCAGAGGCGCGCAGCGAGATCTTGGCATGCCTCGCCCGCCTGGACGTACCAACAAGGCACCTCTAGCACCCAAATTGATTATATCATGACAAGGGAGGTAACAGCAGGTGGCTCGGCCAAGCACGCATGTCCGCAGGAGCAATTCCCACTTGGCAAGTGGAAAGCTGGTGGACACCTGCCTTTGCTATCGCGAGGTAAGCGGCTTAGACATGGGCAGCTGCCAGGCAAGAGGGTGAAACCCTTGTCCCACGATTCTAAGGCGCTTCAGGCGGCAGTTCGATCCAACTCGGAGCAAGCCCAGGCCATGCAGCGGTGGGTGGAGAGCCGACTGACCTCCGGCAAGTCGCCGGAGGAGTGGAATGACCTACTTAAGCAGGCTACTCAGCTGTTCTTCGCAATGCCACCGACACCAGCAGAAGGTCAGGGCACGACAGCTGCAAGGCGCCTCTGGCGAAGCCGACGGCCCACCTGCGACTCGACGCAAGCAAGAAAGGAGGCCTATGACCTGGTGTCACAGACAGACAAGCAGTCAAGCAGGCCAGAAAGGAACGAGCTTAGCTGAGGTGGACGCCTCGCTGGCGGCAGGCGACCAGCAGCATCTTGCTTATCAAGCCTTAAAACGTCTCAAGCCTTGGATTTCCGCGGTCAAAGCCCAGCTCAAAGACGACAACGGGTTCCTGTTAAGCCGCGAAGGCGAGCTCAAAGCCTTAAGTCAGTATGCCCGCACCGTCTTTGCAGCACACCCAGGCGATTTCCCCAACCTGGCCTGGCCGAGACCCAACTGGCTGCGCACATAGCCTCCATCAAGCCAGAGAAGGCGGTTCCGAAAGGATCAGCTCCGGCCGCGACTTGGAAGCAATGCTCAGGAGCCGTTGCGCGGGCCCTAGCGGCATATTGCCAGATCGACCGCGACCCTAGCACAGGATCTTGATGAAGGCCTGCTTAATGCTGATCTCTGCCTGATCCCGAAGCCTGGGAAAGCTTCGGACAAGCCGTCTCAGCTGCGCCCGTTAGGCATCCTCAGGCCGGACGAAAGGACTCGTGGGAACGGCGAAGGAGTTACTGCAGCCTCTCATAGACCCCTACATGGCTCTGCCACAGTTCGCCTATCTTCCCAAAAGGGGACTGTCGGACGCTCAGAGCAGGGTCGTTCAACACCTACGAGAGGTAAGGGCGCCCTGCCGCACCTAGCCGAGCAGATTTAAAAAGGGGACTTGGGCCATCAACCCAGAGAAGAACGAGGACGCTCCCTGGAATTACGATACTCTGAGGGGAACGGTTAGCCTTCCAGCGGTAAAGATAGCAAGGCCAGGGAGGAGGCGGAGGCGCTAGCAGCTGAGATGCCCGGCGCAACAAGGCCGAACGCAACGCTAACCTGGCGCAAGCCGCTCTGAAAGAGGTCAAGAAGGCCTCGGCCAAGCAGAAGAGCCCACCGTCGCTAAAGAAGAGGAGATGGAGCTCCGTCGCTACGAGGCCATCGCTAGCGCGAGCTGAGGGCAGCGCTGACGCTGGCCCGGACTCACGGTGGACCCAGTCGCTACCGCTACCCAGAGCAGACACGTTTCAGGGGAGGGGCGGGACTCAGGACGCAAAGTCGGGCCACAGACACCACCCCCGCACCTACCTCAGGGACACCAAGGGGAAGAGCAAGGGCGCGCTATGTGAGAGGTCCATGTAAAACGTCAGGTTGGGGCAGACTGGGGCAGACGATTGTGACGCTCAGCCCAACTTTCCGGGCCCGCTGGTCAACCAGCTCTACGCCGCCAACAAGACTCATGTCCGCAGCGAAAATAGCGTCTAAGGCGATAGGGCTTTTGGTGAGAAGAGCCATCAGAGCGATGCGACAGTCCCACCCGCGCGCCTTGCACGTGCTGATTGTCTGCTCCTGTGGAACGCTACGGCGGACAACGTTCACCAGGAGATGCACGCCGCGGCTGAACTGTGTAGAGCCACCAACGTCTCTGAATTGGGGTCTGTGGCCACCCGACACACCCAGAAAATTTGGGCGCGCAGACACTAGTTTGAGCCTCGGGCTATGACGCAGCGTGCCCAAGACGGTCGTCCAGACCTACTCCCGTGACAACCACTTTGGCCCGCCGGGCATGTGCCAAAAGTACCTTCCGGACTTTCAGCGTACCTTCTTTGAGCGCACGCGGGTAATCATGGCGCGAAGCTCATCTCTCACCTCAAGCAACTCACTACAGCCATGGTGGGCTGTACAAGGACATAAAGTTCTGCTTCACGGTCCCGTTCTCGGAGCGCAAGCACACCTTGCTAAAGAATGGGACTCGGTCCATCAAAAGGAGTGTTGGAGGCTCGGCCTACCGGATTCCCTCCCGGGACAGTTCCCACAGGAGTTTCTCCCAATGGCGATCGGGCTGCGAGGAGATCACATCTTCCAGGGCATCATCTATACGGCCAACCAAGGCACCCTCTCATCTTGCAAGCCACAACACATTCCTTCTCCCGTCGGATATTCGCGCGTTGCGAATTCGGAGTACATGATCGTCTGCAAGGAGCTCTGGAGGCACCGATGTCAGGACTCAGGTCATGATCCGCAGCCGGGCTGGAACATCAACGGTGTACTTACTGAGAGAGCGCTATGCCAAGAGCTTAGTAATAGGTGGTGCCTCGGGCTCGGATGGTCATCGCTTCAAGACAGCAGGGGGGAATACTGTTGCCCTCGCCCGCTGCTGGGACTGGCAAAGAGGCTTTAAGGGGGATCCCAGTGCGGCAGAGCGCAGGGCCAAAACCCTACTGCAGACTCGCCTGAAGCCGTCAGGCACAACAACCTGGCTTGCTGGGAGCTCTGCCCACTAGAGGTGACATTGGGACTCGGTCCAGGCGAGCATCTCAGAGCCCACTCTGACATTGGGGACTCGGTCCAGGCGAGAATCTCTGAGAACCTCTTTGATGACATCATGGATGCCGTCAAAAACAGCCCCAGTATGCGGAAATCCAGGCAGAGGATGTGATGCGCCTCCTGCCAAAAGGCTTGATTGCGCGTCCAACCATGCCGGGTTGGCTCGCCGTCATTGCAGCAACAAGTCGGGCTTGTGGCTGGAGTTCCCCAACGCAGGGGGAAGACACATTCATTTTCAGCACGTTGCCACTTCCCCTGCCTCAGCCCCCCTCCCAGAGGCCCCCCCAGATTTCATGCCAGCGCCTCCACATGCCTCCTCTTCCCACACGCGCAGCGGGACAATACCCGGGTCACGGTGCAGAGCCAGACTCCTTTGTCCCAGCCAGCACCCTGCACACCCCCTCCGTAGGACGTGCCCGCTATACCAGCCAGTGCGGTTGACAAGACGCTGGAAATAGCTTCTTCCACCCCGCACCACTCCCTGTGATTTCGCGGGGTCTGCTGCATCTGCGAGCTCTTCCGCTCCCTCGCCCCCACCAGAGTCAGCAGGTGCACCATGAGCCGAAGGAGAAAGCTCAGCTTTCCCATCAGCCCATGAACGTGTCGGCCTCGGCAAGCGCCGCGGCTGACCAAGCTGATGAGAAATTTGGGCACTCGGTGCAGACTGCAAAAGGGACAGAGGGGCCTCGTGCCGCCGATACATCTATCCCGGCGGACCAGCTCACAGCGGTCAGGTACCAGGGACCAGTGGTCATCGATGCTCCCATTGGTTAAGTATCGGGGTCTTCTCTGCAAGCACGAGAGGCCGAGATCCCGAAGCGAGAAAGGATTATCCAAGAATGTCATTTTGACCCGTTCTTAACGGGTTCATGCCCTCGCCGCTGTCTTGCTGATCCATGAGAAGCCTATCACAGGCGGCCTGCGAGCCTCGGAGTTGGCTAATTTGTGGCAGCACCGTCTGTCCGTCCTGGGACAGGTGCCATGGGTTTTTGCTCCGCTCTTACAGGCCCGGGCCTCCTCGGGCACCACATGGAGTCAGGCTATGACAGCCGAGCTGGTCATGTCAGGAGATGGCAACCTGACAATCTCTTTGCGCCAGGGCACCGGCTACAGGGAGCTGGACAGCGTGACGTGGTGTCATAGGCTCCTTGTTGCGGAACATGTGGGACCGAGCGGAAATGGATGCCATCCTCGAGACTGACGCCAACTTCGAGATCGTGGCCTCCACGGCTAAGTCCATTTATGATCAAAGATGCCGGTCCTGCGGCATGATCAATCGGTTGATCATTCACATGCTAGCGGGCGGCGTGGTGATGCGGAAGATGCGCATAGACCACAAAATTGGCGACACAGAGGCCAAGACCAGCTACCTCACCAAGTCAAAGCGTCAGCATGACGCCAATCCTCCCCAGGTCGACAAAAGGCAGAGGGACACTGGAGACTGGCAGGGAGCAGGTTGGAACCACACCAATTGGTGGCACGGATACCGTGATTATGACCGCCGCGCCTCCTCATCCTCTTCCTCCTCTTGGCAGTGGAAGAAGTAGGACGTGGGGCCTCCGGCCAACTCTTAGCAGCTGGCTAAATAGGCATGGCGGCTCGGCCGACACAATTCGCATCATTCCGCAGCCGCCGCACGCCGAGCAAAGCTCTGTGCGTCTTGCACATCACTGATGGGAGTGGCCTTGTCGCCAGTCGTCAAAACAGCTCCAGAATTCGCAAAGCCTGGCATCAGCATCGCCCCGCACGCAATCTAGGGAGAGTCTTGAGTGCTCCACGGCCAGCCACAAGTACACCTTGCTCACTTCGCTGCTGAGTTGCAAGCTGACCGTGGTCCTGTCATGTGGAGATCTTTGAAGCCGCTCATGTGCTCGTCGGTCCAAACGGATACGGGGCAGCCGCAGCGGGCAACCCTGCTCGGTGGAGGTGGTGAACAAGTCTCAAGTGCTCGACGGCCCAAAGTGGTACGGGGCAGCATGGCGTGGATCGGTCTCAGCGCTTCTGAGATGGCCAGCCTGAACAGTAGTAAGGTGGGGCCTCGGGCCAGCTGCAACAACTCTTTAACTAAAAGAGGCTCGGCCTGTTCCAAGCTGTAACCGAGCGTTCCAAGGGAGCCGCTCCACTTGTCTGCCATCGCCTTTGTTTTTATCTTTAGTCTTCGTCTACAGTGCCCTGCTCCCAACTAGGTGGTTCACAGCTCGTCAAGGTCGGTTTCACAGCTTTGTGAGTGCAAGTGCGGTTTTTTATGCCCGCCATGCGCAGAACCCGCTCGCGCCTCGTGCAATTGAAATTGTTGTTGTTGTTGTTGTTGTTGGTGGTGGTGGTGGTGGTGGTGCCGCTGCTGGTGTTTTTTTGTTGCCGCTGCTGCTGCTGATGCCGATGATGATAATGGTCATGGAAGCGACGACGACAATGACGAAAATTGTATCGGGGATGCAGCGGAGTTTGATGGTGATGGTGATGGTCGATATGCTGCTGGTCATGATCCCGCGGATGCTAGTGAGTTTGGCGGTGGAACGAATTTGGACCGTGATGGCGATGTTGCATGGTTTCTGAGGAAAATAAGGGTCATGCCCGGACTTTCTGCAGCCACGGTAAGGGTCTTCAGGTGGCAAGATCAAAAACAACATCGCGGTGAATCTATTACCAAGGGCAAGCAAGGAACAGTCGCAAGCGTGTGTAACTGTATAGCATTTTTCACATGAATATGAACGGAAGGGAGGCAGGTAGGACGGCGGGTGGTTGGGAAACAGCGTCGACGGTTGGTCAGCAGGTTCTCAGAGCAGCAGTTAAAGTTGCAGAGATATGCCTTTGCGGCCGTTACTCAGGGCCGTCCAGGAAGAGCAGCGACAGTTCCTTTCAAGGCATCAGGGACCGATATGGCAACGTAAGACCGGGAATGGCCGGAGGCTGGGCGTGTGAGAGTGTGTGCTCACGCCTGAGAAAGGATCCAGCTCTTCTCCGAAGACGTCCTCACCAAGGCGTGCTGCAGCTTACTCTTGCATAGCGAGAGCAGAAGATCCCGGCCCCGCATCCTTTCCAAACCGTCCACAACGCGCCTGTGCGAGGAAGAACAGTTTATGCTCGTCGGAAAGCTCAAGTCCTCGGCCTCGACTTCTTTTCTCCATGTGCTCATGAGATCGGCTTAGGGAGTCTTATTTGTTGCACTTCTCCTTTTACCGTTCGAGGCCCTGGAACTTTCCTGCGGGAAGATACATCATCCAAGAAGGGGAGGTGGACGGCTCTGTTAGTTGTTTCGGGTCGCAAGCAGACTGACGCAGATTGGCGACATGCTTTTCATCATCGAGAGGGGTGTGTGCGATGCCTGCAAGCTGTTGAATGATCACGAGGTGGGGTGGTTAACCCAAACACTCCAAAAGAAGCTCCAGTTAAGGAAGACTGAACCGAGGTAGTACTCACCCAGCTCAAGAAGGGCGCCTTCTTCGGTGAGCTTGCGACGATGTTTGCCGCACCTGCCAGCTTCGATGACCAGTCGCGGGGCGCTTTGCAAGCCACTGTTGCCAGGACATGCCAAGAACTGCCTCTGTGCGTGCGGCGACGCACGTGACTGCACTCTCGCTCACCCGGGAGGCGCGGTCTCCATCGGTTTGTAGATTTCACAGGGGCGTCACGGCTACCAGCCGTGACTCGAAGGACATCTTTGGCCTCATCGGTGAGGAGAAGATCGCAAAGATGCACGCCGCCCTTTCCGTTCTGTTTCTCAGTGCTGTCATGTGACCTCGCAAGTGCCGAGGCAGATTCTGGCAAAGGCTCAGGCATCCGATTTTTTGATGTTTCGGATGCATGCGTCAGAAGCATCTCTCATGTCTCGGAGTGTTTTTGTAACGAAGGTGTTTGGCAGTATCCCAATCTTGACGGGCCTCACAGCATCTGCCAAGAACACCATTGCGCGAAGGCAGCTGGCGGGCACACAGTTGCTCGTTCACAGGAAGTCTTTGTGGCATTCGAGTCTTTGGATCTTGACCCGGCAAGCATCTGTTCTGAGCACTGATGGCTCAAAAGCTGCGGAGCTGCTACTGTAGGGTTCGATTCTGCATGGCAGGGTTTCGGTTGCACATGCAAGGGACTGCTCGTACTGGTAGCAGATGTAGCACTTTAGACAGCAAAGCCTAAGCCACGCGCTTCTCCGGCCGGGGCTCATGGCAGTCTCCCGGCCCTGGAGCATACTACCCGCAGGCAGCCCTGGGGCTGCCTCGCGTATTGGCCTATTCCTTCGGGAGACCTAGAGCAACAACTGTCAAACCAGGAGTCCATAAGGCTCCTTATGGACTCCTGGTTTGACAGGTCTCCCGAAGGAATAGGCCAATACGCGAGGCAGCCGCAAACCTCTGCTTCAAGTGTCCCTTCAGTGAAGGGATCCTTGAAGCAGAGGTTGGCTGCCTTGACATCTGTGGTTGCGATGAGGAGCTTGTGAATATGACAGACGGCCTTGCATGTGTCCTGAAAAGCCTCTACCAGGTCATGGTGGCACAGATTGCCTTTGCTGGAAGCCGTCTAATTGCCCACACCGACGTCAACGCCGCAAGCCTCTGCTTCAAGGATCCTTTCAGTGGCCCGTCACTTGCAGAAGCTGAACGAGTACGCTTTACACTTTACGGGATAACATTATCCCCTGTAGAACTGCAAGGTCACAGTTTTGGGGGCTTATGAACTCAGCAGCTAAGGTCAAACTGATAGATGTCGATGCTGCATTGCAGTATCTTCTTGTAGAGCTTGGTCCTGTGCCCCTTCGGACCTTTCGGGTGACACTGCTGTCAGATCTCCTAGCATTCGTAACATGACCTGGTGCGATCTAACAGTAGTGTCACCCAAAATGTCCAGAGGGGCACATTGCCAAGCCCTGCTGCCAGATTTGCTGTGACAACGGCTTGTTGCTTTGTAAAGCCGAAGATCTGGCTGAACACGATGCCGGAAATCACAGTGTCTGCAATCTGC